TTTGTGGTGAGTACAAATTGTGATATTCGGTACGTGATCAAAACTGAGAATCGAATCGGTCACTTGCACGCCACAATTTCTTAAGCTTACGCTTTACGATGCAATAAATCTATCAACAAGCTGAAGGTTTCAGGATTATTTTAGTCACGTTGACAAGCTGCGAGCCCAGCAAAAATAGGCAAACAGCTGTTTATTCTACAGTTAAGGATAACTTCATTACAATTTATTGTTAGTTACAACAAAATTGGAATTCAAAAATCAATTATTTAACTGTAATTAAGTTCTTCAATCCCAAGAGTGTTGAGTCAAAATTGAGTAGAAACTTTGAATTTCAATTTGCAGAGTCAACATAAACAAACATTATAACATGAAAGTTAAATGTTGCTTGACAGCTTACGTTTGAATTTTAGCTCACAAGAGTTTTATTGTATTGCAAGCATACAGCTACATATGAACTGTAGTATAGCCTTTGGCACAAGTGAAGAGGAGACTTTTTCATTCCAAATTCATGGGGTCTCCAAGGAATTTTCATGGTGCTTGCAATTTCCCAAGAACCCCATGAAAACTAACTGGCTATTAACTTTCATGTGCCATGAAAATGCCATGGAGAGGCCAGGAAAATTCAGGAAAATTTTTCATGTTCAATGAATTTTTTACATATTCACAGGATATTCATGGGTCATGATTTCCTACAACCCATTAAAACCAAGTGAATTTTAACAGCATCAATTTTTTCAATTGAAAATGTTATTTTCATGGGTATTTCATAGCCTTTTCAGTACCTTTGAAAAGGTGAAATGCCATTTTCATGGGTATTTCATGGCTTCTAGGTCACTTGACACAATCTTTTATGGGTCGTGAATATGCAAATTTTCACAGGTTTTTCATGAGATTTTTTATGTCTTTTTCATGGGACTGAGACCATGAAAAAGCCATTAAATTAACCATGAAAATCCTGTGAAAAATCTGTGAATTTACCATGAATAAATTCACAAGATTTTCATGGATTTTGATTTCATAGTTATACATTACAGTGACATGGCAGTGATAATTCAAATTAGGTGTAAAGAAACCATATCAATATATACTGCAATTACATGATTGAGCATCATTGCCACTTCAGTGTGGCACCAATCGATCAAGAAGTTGCAAAGATTTCAATTGAGACCAGTCAGCTTAATGAATTTCAAAATCCTCATTCTCCTGAAAATTCACACAAACGAAATGTCGATCAACTGCAAAAACAAAACATGTTCAACATTCAAGTCTTTGTCCCTAATTTTATCAGAAAAATATAAGTACAACATTTGCACTGGTGCACTCTACTGCTTCCAAAAATCTCTAATTGCCTAACCCATTCATGACCTGAGTTCACAAAATTTCCCATTTGGGTTTGCCATATTTGGCTGTGCTGAATAGCCAAAAAATGGGAAAACTTAATAAACTTAAGACCTTAGATTATAATCATTATCATGACATCTATATATACTGATAGCTATTGATATTTATCATGCTGCATTATGGTTCAGTCATGTTGATTTACCTTGCTGCGAATCTGTTCTAGAGAGTTCTGTGTTTGGAGAACGGTAGTTATCAGTGATGGTGGCTGAAGATGTTGATACATGTGCTCCTGAACCAATTTGGTTTATGGTACTTGGGAATTTGGGCAAGGACCTGTGATGACTTTTTCCTGCCAAAGTTTGAAGCATTCTAGTCCCTACCAAAGAAGAACCTACAAACAATAAGGACAGATCTTTTATTGATATCTTTTTGGCACCATTCCAAAAAAATTCAATCTTAAAATTAAAGGAAAAATGCACACCTATGAATAACCCATACAAGCAATATCTTGGACACTGACTACAAATAACCATAAATATATCACTTTATTTGTAAGTAACCATTTGGTACAATCTTACCCACTCCACTTGGTCCATGTTTTTGTAGAACAAGTTGTCCTGAACATCTATTTGCTGCACGCTCTGAACCCTCACAAGCAGTCCCTGCCTCTGGTGCTCCCTAATCAAAGCAAAAATACATGCTTACTTAACAAGCTCTTGTGATCGAAAAATGTTGTACTAGTTAGCTCTTGCATTATGTTTTTTGAAAAAATGAAACATAAAATCCATTGTCCCTCAATTTTCAAATGCAGGTCTGTTTAATTTTTTCAACAGTGAATTCTTATAATTCAAACTTCGTGCTAGCACCATGCATCCTCCACAAGATTCGAATTAGCAGTAATTGATCACAGTGATTTAATTACAAACTTTGAGTAAAAAGTTAACAGCAATGAAATAAGTATTAATGGTTCAATTCCAACTGATTTATTCTGTTCTGGTTTTATTTTAAACTTATGGCAGAGATAATTTGAATAAATGGATTTAACAGTCTTTTATATGCATTTGCACAATTTCATTTAAAGGTATTCAGATATTCTTGACTTGCTCAACTAAGCATTAAGGAGAATATCACGTACTTGAAGGTGAAAGGAAAACTCACAATTATCATAAAATTCTGTACATAGTTCAATTGATGGTACAAATTCTTCTAAAAGTACTATCAGAATCAAGTGAGAGGGAGAAGATAAATTTTCCCAGAAAGCTGGTGCAACAAATATTAAGATTTAGTGTCACGCTCCGGATGCTGCAGACACGTGGTGTTGTGCACCGGAGTTCGCCAGTATAACCACAGTGACGAACTTTAGACAAGTAGCAGCATCAAACTCTTTATTCACTTAAGCTGGCAGTCTTTGTACAGCACAGGCAGTAAAAACTATAGAATGGATACATGAAGGTTCAATATAAGGAAAACTGAAAGGCTACAAATAAACGAATAGGGCGAAACTAGAAATGATAAAAATGAGGAAAATACAAGCATAACTTACATCGGATCTTGACTCCAGGGTAGAGAACTACCAAACTCCATTTGGCTCAGAAATGGTTTCGCTACAATGACTCCTCGCAACTGAACTACATGCTATTAGAAGGCGAATTTAGTTCTTACACTTTGACGCAGGGGAAGTAGAAATGAACAATGCTTTGTGTAGCTAACTTCAAGCGGATATTCGCTAGTCACAGAATAGAAATCAAATAAAGCACGCTAACAAATTTGATAGACAGTCATTGAAAGTTTCTTAGTTTCTTTGTGCTAAAAAACAGAAGAGTTACATAAGTAAAAAGATTAGAGTTCATGTCCGTAAACGTGACATTTAGTACAATTGGTCTTGCTGGTGAGATAGAGATGTGTTAGACTTGCCCCAAGTTGTCTTTTTATGCTCATCTTTGAGAAAAACGAGCGACGAAGTCAGAGGAAGGAGCGACAAAGTCGCGAAGAGACGACTTGTTGCGCCTGCATGGATTCGAATTTGATTTGCATATTGTTGGCGGGAAATTACTGCAATGACGTCATGGACGGCTCGTATGTAAAATAGACAGTTCTCGAATTACTGGATAATTCATAACTCAGGATGGATGACCTGACCCCAATTAAGACTATTTCTCGGGTCAATATCTCCCCTAAATCGAAGCCGCTGTTGTTTTAACCGCTCTAAATTGCGGCCTTGTTAGCGAAAGGAAGAAATTCGCTTTGATCACTTTTGCACAGTGCACTACATCAATCCTTACATGTATGTAAATGTGAAATATCAGCGAGAAAGCTGTGGAAGACAACAAAAGCGAACTTGAGACAGAAGAAAAGGTGATAAAAAAGTAGTATAACTGAGAGCTTTCTAACAGTGTAACGATGAAAAGAATAGAGCACTAACCATTTCGTCACACAATGCACTTCATCAATGAATACAGCTTCGATTTTAAACAACAAACATATGAAAATACATATATATGAACTGTGGTTATGAAACGTATATGTGCACGATCCTTCGCAGTAAAGCACTATTTAAGCAATAGTGAAAATCAGACCTGAAAAAAAAAAATTCAGGCCTGTACGGGATTCGAACCACTGACCTCTGCGATACTAGTGCAGCGCTCTACCAATTGAGCTAACAAGCCAACTGGGAGCAGGCCATCAAATTAATTCGACATAAACCCGTAGATGATAAATCAAACAACAAACGTATGAAAATACATATATATGAACTGCGGTTATGAAACGTATATGTGCACGATCCTTCGCAGTAAAGCACTATTTAAGCAATAGTGAAAATCAGACCTGAAAAAAA